CACTTGTTACTTATCAATATTTTCATTGTCTCTTAGGCCATGTGTGTGGCTGTTTTATCACCCATGATCCGTCTCGCATTTCTTTCTGCCTTCTTTTCTTTCTCTTTCTTTCTCTGCCTCGTAAATGGTGCCACAGTAAATTTAAGGGAATTTTCTAAAAGTAAAGCTTACGCGCTTACTTTAAATCTGAATGAAAATAACGTTTTATTTGCAAACGCTAGCCTGTGAGGTGAAACGACCTGTCCGAAAAAGCTCGTGCAAAAATAAAAACTAAAGAACTACGGAAGACCAGAAGTCAATTATTTATGTTTAAAGCTAAATGTTCATTTCCCTTAAATAATATAAACAAAAGTTTAAGAATATCTATTTTTGTTATATACACTTTTATTAATCTTCGTACTTTTATAACTTTATTTATACTTTAATAATTTTAATTTTTTAAACGGGAGATAGGAAATTAGATTAATATCTTACTACTCCCGCTCCGATAATGAATAGTAGTTAGTCAACGCAAGATATCAAAATTATTTCCTTTTTACGCATCCATATCAAAAATAAGAGTTGTTAAAAGGAAAAGTATAGAATAAAATTCTTTTCAGGCTCACATTGTTTTACGTGATTTTTTGCGTCGAATTTTTTGTACGATAACAATTTTTATAATTGGAAATAAATTTGGAAATAATCGAAATTAATTGCGAAATCCAGCGAAAGTCACTCATGAAATAAAAATAATTATTTGTACGGAAAGTAAGGACCTACTTACATCAAATTGCCTTTAATTTAAGTGGCGACAGAAGAATTATCGTTGAACCTTTAAAAAAATGTAAGCATTTATATTAATGCAGTACTTAAATGCAATGATCAATTTTGAGTTATTCTGTATTTTATTGTTGCCTGTCACATCTACTCTTCCTTACCTACTGTGATGAAGGCGCAATGAAAAAACCTCCGCAGGAGCTAGCTTAAATGCCGCCTGATAGTGCGCCTTTTAGCTAGTTAATAATAAAATTATTAATATTACTGCCTCATCATTTTGTATGATGAACGGCTTTTAAAAGGAAACCAATGGGTTTATGCGTGGTCTAGTTCTGAATTTAACATTAAATAAGTTTTAACCTATATCTACTTATTTAAATAAGAAGTAAATTATTTTGAAAAACGTGATTAAAAATTAATTATTTTCCAGGGGAGCAAAAAAAAAAATCAACGGATAATTTTTCAAGGGAGGTAAATAAGAAATTGTTGGAAGGGGTTTTTCCCCTTGAAAAGTTACATTCAAAACAATACGTCCATGTATTTTGGTAAATATATATACTGACATTATATTGAATAAATATATTATTTTTATTATACCAGGAAAATGTTTGAAAGCATCCAAAGTGTAAATTCCGATCAATATGGGAAAGAAATTATTCGAATTGTTATATTTCAAACTGTTTATATTTTCTCTATTAGCATTTCACGAAAAACAGTAAATTTACCATTATTTTTTATTGTTGAATCTAACACTGAAATCCTTCCGATGTGAATTTAAAATTCAAATAAAAAAGTTAAGCTTATTTGAAACTTAATCTTACAACCTTATTGATCCAACACAGTAAATAGATGTTTTTTTTTATTTTTTTATTTCAGATTTTTCCATTGAAGAATATAAATCGAGAAGAGATCAAGAGTGAACTATTGCGTACCGGTTCTCGAAGGATCACCGAAGTTAAAAAACAAGGTCAAGCCGGGTCTCTACATAGATGGGTGACTGCTGGGGAATACCAGGTGCTGTAAATTTGGATGTGGTTGGTGTAATGTATAACGGTTCGAAATTGAAAATCGGAGTGATGTGTTCCAATCCCAGTCGGATTAGTTATATTCACTTATGCGTAAATATCCTTGTGAAAGTTATGAATCCACATCTTTCTCCCACAAGCTATGGGTTAATTAGTAGGACATATATCGGTAAATCAAATTCTTCCCATCTGGTTAATGGTTTTAAATAACCTGCAAATTTGATAAACCATTATATATATATATATATATATATATATATATATATATATATATATATATATATTCGGGTAGCAACCTTTCTTTTAAACATGTTCCGTTGAATATGACAGACAATATTGCTGTTATATATGGTCTGGTGACCCCGCTGTAAGTCACGAAGTCCTCGACAAAATCCAAAGACGGATATGCAATGTGATAGGTCCTGATCTGGCATCTAGTCTACAGTCGCTTTCTCACGGACGTGCCGTGGCTTCCCTCTGTCTCTTCTATAAGTATTTTCACGGTAACTGTTCCGACGAATTGCTTTCGCTGGTTCCCAGACTGCATGAATTTAAGCGTGCTACTAGGTTGGTATATCGGTTTCACCCTTTCACTGCCGAAACGGTTAAATGTAACCGTCTCTTCTACTCAAACAGCTTCTTCTCTCGCGATTCCCGTCTGTAGAATTCTCTTACTTGCTTCCCTGATAATTATAATCTTCAAATATTCAAGTGTCATGTCAATCAACATCTTCTGATACATTGATCTTGTTCCTCGTTTTTCTCTTTATCCTCGCACCAAACACGCCTCTTTACTCTTGTTCTTTACCCTCTATAACCCCTTGCGTACTAGTGTCACTCCCGCCTTGCTTGGGGGTGAAATATTTAAAAACAAAAAAAAAGACAAGGTAAATTTAATTCATTTTTATTTAGTTTTTCAAGCATTCTTACATTTTTCCGATTTGTGGGAGTAAGGGAGTGCAAAAATTCAAAACAACACAAAAATGTATTGTAAACAACTCAAAAAATACATCTTAAACTATGGGGAATTGAAGTGGGCCCCACATAAGATTCCCACGTGTTGGATGCAGACGTTGTAATAAGTACAGAATAGAAAGCGACTGACCTCTGATTTATACAAGTTATATTAAACAATATTACAAATAACTCCTTGCAAACTTAATGGTGTCTGCTGAAGAAGAGTCGATATTTTCGCCATGTACTGACTCTGTGATGATAACAGCTGGTTCTACAAGTCTTACCAAGAGTGAGTGTTCTTCAAAAAGAGGTAGAAAAGCGCGCCGATCAGAATCTTTAAGCTGATTGGCTAACCTTAAACTGCCAAGGGGAGACAATCATATTTCTTATTTCTCATAAAACAGTCAAAACTAAAAAGAAATTAAGAACACCTAAAAAAAACACCTTTGAAAATGGATAAAGAAGTTACCGAAAATGCTTGGGACAATGGACAATACGGACATTTTTTTTTCCTCCTACCAAACGGAAAACTGTAAGAATGCTGGAAAACTAAATTAAAAAAATAATTAGTATTTCCTTGTCTATCATATTCAGCCAAATACTTATATGTATGTATTGGAATCAAATACAGATCAAACATGAATCCGAATCCGAATCCGACAGAATGATAGAATAAAGAACAAATAGGAAATGTTTATCTGTCTATATTTCTCAGATGAGGTATTATGTACACTATTTACATTATTCGGACTATTGTTGTACGCGGTCGTTGTACGCTCCGGCCTTTTTCAGGTGGTTTGAATGTCGAAATAAAGGGTTCAGTTCGACATTCCAACTACCTGAAGATGGCCAGAGCGTACAACGGCCGAAGCGTTGTGATAAATATGGCAACAAAGATGAGGACAATAGTCCGAATAATGTAAATAGGAACGTCAATCAATGTAACGTTTCACTTTTATTAAAGCTTCATCAAAGAATTAGATATGGAGAAAAAAAGGAAGAAATTATAGCATCTTTATTTTTGTGTTAATATTTTATTTTCTATGTTTGTATTCAATAAAATCAAAGAATACAAAAATAAAAATACCATAATTCCTTTCTTTCTCCATATCTCATTCTCTGATAAAGCATTAATAAAAGTGAAACATGTTAGATTGGTAAACGTTTCCTATTTGTTTTTATCCTATCATTCATATATATATATATATATATATATATATATATATATATATATATATATATATATGGGGGTATGTGTATGCATGTATGTATATATTTGAGTTTGTATGTATGTAAGAAATGTTCAAACCTGACGATTTTTTTCGACGACACAGAGAATTTTTTTTTTTACACCAATCATTCTAAATCAATCCTAATTTGCAAGTATTCTTTGTTTTTTTTTTGCAAATTCTTAGGTCAACAATCTACAGCGAAACAGTTACACAGCACGGATACAAAATAAAACATAAACTCTCGAAGAGACTTGAACTTCTTTTGCAGGTGAAACCAACGCGCCTCTTGTAACTCGAACACCGATCCCTTGCAATGATTATGGCCACGGTGGCAAATTACTAATCTTATCTACTTAAATTTGTTAATATATAATTAGACGCTTCTCTTTATTCACCGGGTAACATTTGAGAGTATATTGAAAGCTAATAAGTTAAAAAAAAGTTTAAAGTTCTAAGAATTCCCCACATATATAACATTTGGGCTCTAATCTCCTTCATTGGGAATCCTGGGGGTACACTGAGAATATTGGTGGTTCATAGAAAACAAAAATAGTAAAAACAAATAAATTCAAATTCCATATCTCATTCTCTGATGATGAGTTGTTAGAGATACTATTTGGGCAAAGGTCTCCTTCATTGGGAGGATGTGCGAGTGGTGTAATAGACAATGGCTTGGAATGAGAAATCGGAGAACCGAAATTGAATTCCAATTGGTTTCGTTACATTTACATACATGCAAATACTCTTGGGAAAGGTACGAATACATCTTGTCCTCCCAGCTATGGGTTAAATAGTAAGAATTGTATCTGGAAAAAAATATTTGTTATTTTTTTAAAAATTGTTAAAGTAATATTCAATCGCAAAAAAATGAATTATTCTTACAATTTTAAATACTTTTTGATGTTATATAACCAACAAAGTGTTGATAATCTGGGAAAAAAATCAAATCAATCAACGAATCCTTCATTAGGAATATGAGAGGCACACCGGGAATATTAAAGATATTGAAAGCGAAGTCAAAATTTTAAATTTAAAAGGATTCTAAGGACTCACCAGGAATAGTATTTGGGCCCTGGTCTCCTTCATTGGGAAAAGTAATAGTCGTGTTGGGCAGCCAGCCTTTTCTTACGGTGATGTTTAGTATCTTGTCCCTCACACTTGACGTGTGACCATCTTCGTTCATTACCTGGAAGTTGGTTAACCCTTAATTGTCATTTAATCAAGTCATCATATACATAAATCCAATTAGCAACAATCAATCGAGAGAATTAAATTCAAATAACATTCATTTATAATCTTTGTACTTAAGCACGAGATCCTTTTTGCAATTGCTCATATCACCATCAAACTGTTTAGCCAGCTAGTGACGCATACTATGACTACAACAGCGAGCGTGATTCTCACTAGGTGCTTAATAATTTTAGCCTTGTGCCAAACTCTGTTAAATATGAATATCGATAAAATATCGACACATCCTTGTGAAGCAGAATAAGCAAAACCTGGCTCTAACTTTTAATATTCGAACACAGGTAGACTTGCATATGCTGATATTTAAAATAGGTAAGCCGCTTCCCCTTATGCTGAGAATGATATCATAAAGAGCAATACAAATGCAAAAGGATATATACCTATGTTTCATAGGAGGGATATCATTATTATTATTATTATTATTATTATTATAATTATAATTATTATTACTATTATAAATAAATGACTAAAAATGAAATATAAAATAATAATAATGAAAATTATAAATAAAATAAAATGAAACAATAGCATAAAACGTTGTATAAAATAAATTAAATAAAACTTAAAAATAATAAAAATACTCCCAGAATGCAGCAAAAACTTTACCTACCGGAAAAACGAACATCACACCAAACAATGTTAAAATTCAATCTCTTCGCCACGAACCTTGGTACGGGCAACATGTGTGTAAGGTCTCTCTGTGATAGGGCTTGTAATCCCACGGAGCAAATTCTCCCTTTTATCACATGTACCATAAAACAATTGTAACCGAAAAAGTACACACACTAATACACACACCAAAAATATAAATAAGTTGTATGAAATTAACATACAATTCATCATGCTTTTCCAGTTTTTGTGTACGTTTTAGTTCCTGTCAATTATGCTTCTCTCTCTGTGAACATGTGGTTAGTTTCTACTGCTATGATATGAGTGAACCCCCACACGTTATACAAAATCATTTTAAGAACGATTTGAACTGCTAGGCAAGCTTGATTCATTTGGGAAATATATTATAATAATCCAGAACTTATACTCTAATCAAACCGCCTCCATTATTGCTTTAATGTTCCAAAATACCACATCCAAATTCGAAAATCTTTCACAGAATCATCATTTTACATAAGTCATCATGAAACAGAAGAGCTTGATGTAAAAAATATCACATCACTTTATATCTCTTTTTTTCGGTACGTTTATAGGGATATTATTATTATTAATAATAATTAAAAAAAATAAAATATAAAATAATAATAAATATCATAAATAAAATAAAATAAAACAAATAACATTACAACTTTGTTTAAAATAAAATAAATAAAACCAAAATAATAAAAATTCTCCCGGCATGCAACAGAAAACTTTTCCTGGCTGAAAACAGATAATTCGCGCCAAAAAACGCCGAATTCGCTTTCTTCGCTATCGACCCTCAAAGGGTCAAGACTTCCATCTCCTCTCCTTAGCATCTTGGTTGTCATAAAGCTAAATGACAATCTTTCTCTATTACATGCAACATTAAAACACATATAACTAAAATACACACACACACCAGTATGCAAAAATAAATAAAATTATATCATTTTAATTTACCATGTTTTAATTCCTATGAACGTATGGATGTTATGGTTATTAGTGCTGGATTGATTCTTTCACCTAAACATCCAAAACTTGTTGAATTGCCTTCGTCGCTGAAATAAATAGACAAAGGCGAAGGCTACGGAGACACTAGAGGGACAGTTTAGGACATTGATTTTATTTCCTTCTTTTGGATTTCAACGACCTCTTGGTGGGGAATTTCCTTCCCGAACAGTTAGCACGGGTTGACCAGTCAAAGGTCCAACAGAGAAAGAGACAGATTCTTCTAGTTTATTTTTGGCGCCAGGAAATCTCTCTTTTTTTTTTTTGCACATGCGTAAATTGTCTTTCCTGTCAGAGGACTTCTGGGAGATTTTAATGTTTATTTTATTTTGTACTTTTATTTAGTTTTGTATTTTATTTAACCTCGTGTTTTTATTTTATCCCCGCAAACGTGAGGCTATCCCTGCTGGTATGATGTGAATAACCCCACACGTTACACTCAGTCAGCGAGGTCTAACGTCGTATTTTACCTTACAAAAAAAAACGTTTAGCTAATTATCTTGAACAACTTTTAACTCGACTGCTATTTTGATTGTAGTTGGTTTTGATTCAATTTAATGTACTTACACGACGCGAGATCCGCATTTTCTTTATGCAGCCGTGGTATAGTTCTTCCAGTGTCAAAAAGAGGTTCCTTTCAATGGGTGGGTCTTTCTTCTTTCGGCTTCTGCCTTCAAGGCCCCCAAAACTCATACTCAGGTCGCCATCAATGCGATCAAAATAATCTGAAAGGGAAAATAAACAAAAGGATTGAAATTGGGACGCAATCAACTGGAGCACCCGATATTTTGAATTCTCGTTTCACACACATAGATAAATACATAATATTTGTTATATTATGCAAAAATAATAAAACTGAACTGATAAGACTTTTATTCAGCTGACCTCTAATTCCACAACATCTGGTAATGAGGTTGATCGCTCTCTTCATCGCTAACCGTGCTTAGAGTAAGACGTTAGCTTTGGTACTTTTACAAATCAGGACAGCGTTGATTTTATATATATATATATATATATATATATATATATATATATATATATATACATGAATTATTCACACAAAACTAATGCAAAGGTTAATGATTTAAATGGCGAGACATCCATCATCGCAAACAATTCAAATAGTATACAAAAACCTCCAGATCCGTTATGAATGAATTGATCCTTGTTTATACCTATTTACCAGTAAAAATTTGTTCATCACCATATTTGGTATAAACGCAAACACTTTAAAAATTTAAAATCAAACTCAGCGTTGCTTTGGCGCGTTCCAAAACCAATAACTCTTTTTCAATAGCATTTTCGGATACAACAACACATATATTTTCGTTGTCCTCTTATTACTAAGAAAAAAACAAAAAAACAACATCTATTCTATACCTGAAGATGTCTGTAGGAACAGACGAAAGCTTGTAGTAAAAATAACAACTAATACGGCAGAAATTTATATAAACAAGGATCAATTCATTCATAACGGATCTGGAGGTTTTTGTATACTATTTGAATTGTTTGCGATGATGGATGTCTCGCCATTTAAATCATTAACCTTTGCATTAGTTTTGTGTGAATAATTCATGTATTTGTAAATTGATTGCACGTTTATTGTAATATATATATATATATATATATATATATATATATATATATACTATATATATATATATATATATATATATATATATATATATATATATATATATATATATATATATATATATATATATATATATATATATATATATATATATATATATATATATATATATATATATATATATATATATATATATATATATATATATATATATATATATATATATATTATATATATATATATATATATATATATATATATATATATATATATATTCCAAACACAGTTATTAGCTGACGGACTGTTGTTATTCCTTCAGCTTACTTCTTTTATACAAAACCTTAAAACTAACAGGTCAAAATAATTTTAGAACCTTTGTTTTCAAAATTTATTCACAAATAAAACAACCACGCAGTTGAAAACAGCTTGATTCTATATTTTAGACATTTTTGTACTCAGCAAATACGCATATAATATTGCAAACCGATTGTTTAAACGAGAGTTAAACAGACAGAAATGCAATAACAGATGCTTAATAGAAAGCAGAAAACAAAGGGTGTCTCACCTTGAAATGGGTTATCTCCGCCGAAAAAATCCCTAAATACTTTCTGCGCGTCTCCATGAAAGACGTAACCTTTTGTCCAAGCTTCACCGTCCTCTTCACATTTCAAGGGGACGCCACATTTCAGCCCTTCTTCACCAAACTGGTCGTACACGGCTTTTCTTTTCTCTGAAACCATAAGTAATCGATATATAAAAGAAAAACATCCAGATAAACATGATATACACATATATCATTCATTCATTAGTTTAAATCTGTTTCATTTACACGTTAACAGATAGGACGCCTCTGCTACAACGATATATGTTCTTTATCGTAGCTCTGTGCGAGATAAAGGTATTTTAGAATATATATATATATGTGTGTGTGTGTCTGTGGGGAGAGAGAGGGGGGAGAGAGATTATATAAATCACTAGCTACTCGAATTTCTCCGCTACGGTTCAGGGTCTCCAGACAAAGTTATATTTTTATAATTATAAATTGCACCTAAATGATCCATTTATACAAAAAAAAAATATATACTGGAAAATATGGCACGTGGATACGGGTCCTGGTAGATAGATAGATAGATAGATAGATAGATAGATAGATAGATAGATAGATAGATAGAATTAGGGTTCACACATAATTTTGCTATTCCCTGCATATGTAAACGTGGAGGCTGCGAGTACAATTAATAATCTACAATTATAACCTAGCCTGTCGATCCCTGACCACATATTGGTTTGTTCTTTACGGCTTATCAACCTTTTGCAGGTTATTTAAAGCTAGAAAATATTTTTAAATTCTAAGATTTTTAAAAAAAATAATATTGATTTACTGATACAAGTTCGACTAATTAATCCATGGCTGAGAGAAGAGATTGATTCATACCTTTTCTCAAGGGTATATGTTCGTAAGTGAATATAAGGAACCTGACTAGAATTAGAACTCGGCTCTCTGATTTCCAATTCCGTGCCGTTATCTATACATCATCCACACATCCAAGCTTACAGCACCTGGTATTCCCAAGTGGTCACCTATCTAGGAACTGTCCAAGCTAGACGTTGCTTAACTTCGGTGGTCGTACGAGAACTGGTAGTTCAACGTGATATGACCGTAAGTTTCTTAGTAAAAAGTTGCATACATTGGGCACTGGATCAGAAGTGGCGACTCGCATGTATCTCGTCTATTTCCTACTGATGTTAGCATTCTGTATTCAATTCCAGATAAAAATCCGAAATTTCTAGGAAGTAATCTTCAGTGAATCCCCGCATTTAAAATAGGCATGAAGAAAAAAGCTATGAAACATTCTGAAAATGTTGTATTTTATTTTTCAGATGAGGAATTATCAGTATTTTTTTTTTTTAATCGGCATTAACTCGTGCAAAACAGTAAAGCCACTAAGACACAAGGCTTACTGGATGTGAAAGAATTAGGAACAGATACATTAATAGTGACTGGGAAAAGAAAAGAATAATCAAAGGGACAGTAGATAGTGATTGACATTGGATTTAAATCTTTGCAGATTAAAGTTGGCTGGAAAGCATGAAACCAAGAGTTCCACAAGCGAGAAGTGTGAGAAAAGAAACTGTTAGCATAGAACTTACAGCTACATCTAACCAAATCAACTATAAATTGATGAGATCTTGACGCAAGTCTAGAACTGCGCTTAATTTTTTTTTAAATGTCTAGGTACCATAGCGAAGAGCTCCTCTGAATAATTACCATGAAAATATTTATAGAAAAGACACAGAGAAGCAACCTTACAGCGGTGGGAAAGTAACTGAAGCCGAACCGCTTGATCAAGATCAACAATATTGCTGACTCTTCTTTGAATCTTATCAAGGAGCTCAATAAAATGCATTGTGGGTAATTCTACTATAAAATTGTATTGTTGATCATGTTTTATATAAAAATGTGTTGCTGGTAATTTTGCTATAAAAATGTATTTTTATGCTTTCATAATGTTTTGTCTTTGTTTGGGGTTCACTATTTGCCTATAGCTAGGACCCTAACAGGTGCTAGCACTCCGGGTTATAGTGGACCTGGGAACAACATCAATTAAGAGTTGGTTCCACGGTCCTGAAAACTTCCAATCTCCCAACCATAGGCCTTGCTTCTGGATGTAGCTTATCATCATATCCAGTACTTAGGTATATAAAGATTTTAAAACCTCCTGCATCAAGATGAGTGTAACTTACACAAGGAAGAATAAAGCAATTTCGTAAAATTCAAGGTGTTCCCAAAAACTGTTTACTTACTGTCGCTGAGGACATCGTACGCTTCGGCGAGTTGGAAAAATTTAACTTCAGCCTGCAGATCATCATTATTTTTGTCCGGGTGATAAAACAAGGACCACTTCCGGTAACTGAAAAAGGAAATCCTTATATTTGTAATAGAAATTTATACGTATGGGATTAAGCAGAATAATTGGGAACTTTTGAAGACATGCGCTAATTTATCAAAATTTGAGATTTAATTGCAATTCTCTCTTGCAAAAATTTCTTAGAAGCCAATAAATTTTTTTATTAATTTCATTTCTAAAGACAAATTCTGATACCACATTTTCCTCCGAGGTAAACAGTGTGAGAATATAAATAAAAGAATAGTTGTATCTGCTAATATTGACATAAAAACGGCCATAAAAATGCTCTTTTACTCTCAAAGAAGCTGCCGATAAAATTAGCGAATGAAGCGAGCGAAGCGATACTTAGGGATTAAAAGGATTTTTTTTTATAAAAATCTTTCTTGCAGCTTTTATTTTAGTTTTAATTCCAAGCTAATAGAATAAATCTAATATTCTCAATAAACAAAATACTTTGCCTTATTTCAAAACTCATTTAAATCTATTGGAATGAGTCTTTCAAATCGCTAAAAATGGCTGATTTTAGCCATATTTACAGATTTCTCAGCACAACTTAACATTATTCGCCTTTTTTCAGGTTAATTCCAGAAAATATTTTTAGACTGTAATATTTTTTAGATAATAATAATTTACTGACACAAGTGCTAATAACTAACTCATAGTGTTAAATCATAGTTTACCAGACTATTATTTTAAGGAAGAAATATATCTCAGCTCCGACATCCGGAGGTTGACCTTAGGAATCAGATGTAAGACATAATAGGGATGTCGATTTTGACTGGCTAAACTAGCGTGGGAATGATAGAGAAAGGTTTATTCGGCGAGTTGATTCTCACTAGTCTAGCGATGTAGAGGTGTACTTATTCGTGTCTGAAACGGCTATCCAATTCGGTGGGGGCGCCCCCACTAGATGGTTAGTACATGTGGACATTAATAAAAATAGATAAATGAAAATTCTCTGCGTGGAAATCTTTCATTTCCGAACCGAAATGATTGGCGATCGACGGCCGATTGAAAAAGCTGAGCAGAGATCATTCACGGCTGTCAACTTGTAACAATAGCTAAAGGGAAAAAGAGATATATTCAGATCTTCCCCAAGAGTATTTGCGCGTAAGTGAATATCAAGAACAATATATATATATATATATATATATATATATATATATATATATATTCTCATTCCTAGAAGCATACCTAAATAATTGAAACATTCAAGTCGTGACAAATGACAGATGTTTGAATATTATTTATTACACTCTCCGCTCGAATGCTTCAGTTATTTAATATCGCCCTTGCATTGAGTAAACGGCTGTTCACTTCTTTTCTATTCGAGTTCTTCAGTCAAATTAGCCGGTTGTTCACTGTTGCGTTGTAATATAAGATGTTAGTCAACAGTTCTCAAAAAGTAATGCCTAAACACAGACAAGACCATTTTTTTTTTACCAAAATATTTTAACTTTAGGTGGAAATGTTGAAGGATGTTCTGAATTTGGACAGAATTTTCATTGTTTTGATTAAACTGAGTAGTGAGTTCGATCCTCACTGGGTGTTCCACACTTTCGGCCTTGTGCCCTGTCTAAACTACGCTTAAGATATCATACGGGATCCTCGACGTGTTTTAATGGTTAGCAACTTTGCCTCACTAAATCTATGGGAGTCCACTCACATCGTGGCAGTAGAAATTAGCCTTGAGTTCACGGAGATAAAAAAACAAAACGTACACAAATAACAGGAAAAGCGTGGTAAATTGTATGTTAATTTCATACAATTTATTTATATTTTGGGGGTGTGTATTTTTAGGTTACAATTGTTTTAGGATACATGTGATAAAAGGGAGAATTTACTACGTGGTATTACAAGTCATATCACAGAGAGAAGTTACACACGTATTGCCCGTGCCAAGGTTCGTTGCGAAGAAATTGAAGTTAAAGTCTTTTGGCGGGATGTCCATATTTCCGGTAGGTACAGTTTTTGTTGCGTGCTGGGAGTGTTTTTATTATTTGTAATTTTATTTATTTTATACAATGTTTTTATGTTATTGTTTTATTTACAATTTTCATTTTCATTATTATTATTATTTTATATTTTATTTTTATTTATTTATAATAATAATAATAATAATAATAATAATAATAAAATCCCCACAGATCTATTACGATTGACTAGTGATCTCGATCCTCACTGGGTGCTCCTTACTTTCGGTCTCGTATCACATCAAAGCTGCGCTTAGTAAATCTTTATATGTGCGTATTACGGGTAAATTAATTAAAATTGTATTGTCTTTGTTATATTTTATTTTAGCATTTCTTTCCAATAATCCATTTAGTATAACTTAATTTTTCCAGTAGCAATGAAAAGAGATTTGTAAGAAAAAATACGATACGATAATGATTCTTCTCGAACCTATCAATAAGAATCCATTTGGTTTTGATCAGATTTCCCATCTCTGCTTCTTGTGTCGTTCTAATCTAAAATTCTAATCCATTCCTCGACACGTACAAAACCAGTCATTTTTATTAAATTCTTCTTAATTCCACTGGAAATTATTATTTTCGTTCTTATTTTTCTTTGTTTCTCATCCCCAGTGAACGAACTTGTTCATATATTCAAACGTTATTCTGATGGATACCTGTGTTTGAAATCGACGCCCCGTTTTTATTTTAAACAGTATTTGTTACGTCTATCGGCCAACACACACGAGAAATCTTAATAAAGAAAATGTACTCTCCGGCAGGGTTCCAAACCGCATCCTCCTTTGTAGGAGAAACCACAGATTGATCAGGTATGCTTTAGACAGCTCGGTCACAGAGAGCGTAACGGTTCAGCAAGGTTTTAATATTTCCTTTTTAAGGAATGTTCACTCCTTTGTTTAGACAACATAACTAAAATAACGTTTGAAGTAATAAAGAATGTCGGATTAAAAATACATCCATTAATTCTTTAGATAGATAGATAGATAGATAGATAGATAGATAGATAGATATGTCTACCTGTGTGTGTGTGTGTATGTGTGTGTGTGTGTGTGTGTGTGTGTGTAACAATGAATACCATTAATGATGTTTTCTTATACAGTCTAACGCATTTAAAGGTGAGTAGATATTTGGAAAGTAAAAAGTGTAACAATACTTAATAGATAAAGTAAAGTTCAAAATAATTATTTATTCAACTTGCAAGTTTCGAAGATACACCACCCATTAAGGTCAGCACCTCTTAACATCTTACCTTTCTGTTCAGGAATATAGCAAGAAGGGGCATAACACCCTCTCTCTGTCTGTCTGTCTGTCTGTCTCTCTCTCTCTCTCATTCACACACTCACTCACTGTCACATACACACACAAACACGCACACATTTTTGTTGTCTAGGCGTCCTCAGAGTCTTCTCAGATATCATGTCTTTTCATATCAGGAAACTCAATCAAAGTCGTTGTTCATGGCTAGTTCTCCGGGATACATGATATAAATACTGGCGTCCCTCTCATTGGTCCTAACCACTTTTTGCCTTCAGTTCATCTTTGGTGTTACAAGTTTTGTTGGTCTCTCGCTCAACAACGCCACACACATAATAATCAAGGAGGTTGCAGTCTGCGGAGTAAGTTGGCCAGATGTAAGGGATGATACGGTCGCAGAAATTGCCTGACGGCCATGACTGGGTTCTCCTGTTATTGTGGCATAGTGCAGGGTCCTGTTGCCAGACATAGGGTCTTCCAGCATCAACCCTCTTGATCCAGGGCAACTTCAGGGCACTTTATGTAGACCTCAATGTTGAGTCTGAAGTCCTGTGGGCAGATGAATAGAGTTATAATGACGCCAACACTAGTGATCACTCCAAACATCTTCGTAATCCCCATTAGACTCGTCCAACTCTTTCCGAATCCTCTGCACTGTCCTCAGATTGACATCAAAACTTCCAAATATTCGTATTGGCGTTTCCGACGCAAATGCCAAGCAGTACAGCATGTTGTTTCTGTCGGAGTGAATTGCGTTATGGTGCCCATTTTCTCACAGACGTTGCCCAACTGATCCTACTGTACTGAGCAGTCGGCAAAATCAAAGACAAACAAAAATAAAGCATAACATTGTGTCAGCTTTGACTGAAATATTAAGGGCCATAAAAATGTTCTTTTATTCTCAGAGAAGGCACCATATATATATATGTGTGTGTGTGTGTGTGTGTGTGTGTGTGTGTGTGTGTGTGTGTGTGTGTGTGTGTGTTCAAAAAATATGCAGAACTGAAGAGAGGGATTCGGAAGGAATCCCTGAATTACAATTGAGGTGCAAACCTGGCCATGTGCCCAATGCAATCGGATATGTCTGTCCAGAGTAGGTCTGATCATCACCAGAAATCACACCAACACCAACAGTCTATTGCATATGACGATTTCATAATGGCATGCTTTGGATGCCCGACCTGTACTAACTAGAGTGTGTAAATCCAAGTCGGGCCTGACAAAGCATATAAAAAGACACATTAGAAGTGATGATGTTCAAAGTCAACTCCCACCACCCGTGCCATATATGTAACAAGAAATGCAGTGTTATGGCGGTGGAGTTTAACTGATGGACTGGGCATGTCAGTGACGGTCATATTCGCTTGTGAGTCGACAACCACTATATATGATAAATCCAAATAACTGGATGTTTGGTGTTTGGCAGCTGATCTATCCTCTGGCATCACTCTCACAGCTCAATAGGGGAAGACTGACTCGTGTCATTCTATATCACCAAAACAAAACTAGTAACATTACATCGACACTGAGCAGACCATAAATTCGCTCTATCCCAGTCATATTCTTAAAGAGGTCCCTTGCCGTGAACGCCTATTGGGTGTAATGCTCACACCGGACTAATGGAAAAAATGTTCTTTGTATCGCTCCAGAAAATACCTAACTTCTGCTGCTATGGACTGTCTTTACAAGAGTCAGATCAGATCAACGATTGAGTATTGCTGATATTTTCAGGCTACTACTAGACAGTCTTCACTGTCGAAGTTAAAAAGCGATTACGAGGCCTTATGGGTGATGAATTATTTTCCACCCTGCAAATTTTCCATCCTACGAATCGTTCATCGCCTCTCATTATTGTTATTACAATGGCAAATGCTCAAACGAGTTAAATTCCTTATTTTGACTAGTTTAGAACTTCACGGCTATGATTCGTTATACCATTCATCCCCATTCTCGTTCAGACAGCATCTGCATTGTGAAACAGGCTCCCGAGTGTATGGTTTCTGACCATTACAATCATAACCCATTCAGGTGCAGGGTCAACCTATATTTATCCTACGTATTTTCATCATATGCACTTCTTACCATCCCCTTTCCACTCATTTTCAACAATCGCACTCAGTAACCCTCTACCTTCAGCCTTGTATTGAGTGATGTAAAATAATTTTGAAAAACACCTCATTTCAAGCCATGTGACTTACACACACACAATGCACTAATCCCATAATTTTTGCTTCCTTTTTTAAACTATCGGTATACACGTAAATATATTTTTCTCTCTCTTCTTTTTTGAGGTACTTTCACCGTTACATAAATATATATAAAAAAATTTCCACTTGTTGAATGTGACAGTTATTGTGTCTTGATTACCAACTACAAAGCAATAAGAACAACAAACAAGGTAATTTTAAACGTTAACTTTCAGGCTTTTCTTTCCGTCGGTATTGAAATGTGGACTAAAATCCATTAAAAACACATTTAAAATGATTTAAATATCTCCCTATTAGTAAAAATTTTGGTTTTATTTAAACGATATTAGCAGAAGATTTTTTTATTAAAAAAAAAATAAAAGTAATTTTACGTTTTAAGATATTTTTACACCATTGCCACGGTTAATTTATCATGGATGCGTACTTTTAATTGAACGTGCAACACAAAAATCCAAAGGCGTACTGAGATAGCAAAGGTGCATTCCAAAAGTTAAACAGAGTATTAAGAGACAGAAAAACTTCGTTAGAAACAAAGAAAAAAGTACTCAACTCTTACGCGATATAAGTCCTCCTATATGGCAGTGAGTGCTGGACAAACTCCTTAAAGATGAAGAACATATTTGAAGCTAAAGAAATATGGTTCTACAGAAAGATGCTACCATGGGCTGAACATGTGATCAACAGCAAGTTTTTAGCGAAAATGAAAATAAAAAGGAAACTTATACTTCACATCAAAAAGAGACAGTTGAAATTTCTGGGGCAAATAATGCGGAAGTGGGGGAGGGAGGCTTGGAAAATCTGATACTCACGGGGCATACTGAGGGCAAGAGGGACAGAGGAAAACAATGCATAACCAAGCGAGCTTGAGTAAATATTTGTTGGAACAGGTTTTAGTAGAGATAACAAAATGATGAAATTTATTAAACGCTACGAAGGACAGGAAATTGTGGAGATCCATGATCGTCTGCACATAAAGATTTTTTTTCTGGCGAAACCTTGTCACTCAGCTTTAACCCCACTCAATTTTTTTGCCAGTTGTTCAGTTGGTTGATTCCTAAGAGAGTCAAGCGGAAAGTGGGAGCGAAGTAAAGAGATTTGAAAGTTAAAATAGAGACTAAGAATAAAGACTATAATTTCAAGTAATCTAATGGTATTAGAGATCACACCTGTAAGTATAAGAAAAAATAGCAACAATAAAAAAAGCTTGCTTCTTTGTTCAGATTGTTGCGTCATATTTTTCACCAGTGCTCGTGGCCAGTGTTTAATGCAAGCTAAAAACGGTATTTATTCTGAATGCTGTTTTCTAAGCAGGTAATCTCCACTAATTCGCTAAAAAAAGAACATACAGTGATGAAAAAAGGTCCCAAACTTGATGAAAACAATTCTTATCGTCTAAATGTTTGTTATTATTAGGAGGAAAGATCAAAGAATTTTCGATTACTTATTTTTACACTTTTTTTAATCCTTCGAAGCAAGTGTGAAACTTTAGTTAAAAATCTTGTTTCTTTTTTGAGTCTGCAAAATTGCCAAAAAATCGATGATGTTCGCCATTTTTAAGAAATTTGTGAACAAAAGTTAAATTCTCTGTTTAAAAATCTTGTAAAAATCAATTATACCTTTTTCAAAAGTTATTTGAAGAAAATTAGAAAATTTAAAGTTTACTTAATGTAACTGGAAACAAACGTTATTTAATTTTTTTTAACAGAAAAAAATTATTTGAAAATAAGAGTAGCATGTTTAACTTTGGTGACTTGTTTTGGAGGTGCCTATGTAGCGACAGCTTACGTCAGAGGAAGTTATCGGACGGAAGGACCGAAATGACAATACCTTCAAAATTTAAGTGAATCAGATTATTTAACTATATAGTAATTTTTTAAAATTAAATACTTTCAAAAGTTTCAAATTCTATTGATATTTAGGTGCTATTTTTAAGGAAGATATGTCCAAAGCCTGCACTTTTACCGTCCCTAAATTTGAAACTGAAGAAGAAAATAATTAATAATTGCAATATGTCTCTCACTGAAAAACAATAAATTATATTTAAAAAATTAAATTTATTTATTTAGTGAAATAGGACGTACAAAAATTTTTTAAAATTGGAAATGCGACTGTGACAGTCAAACAAAAAATGTTAGTCAGAGAATTCAACAGATGCTCGCCGAATGAAACGCAAAATTTTCTGTACTTGCTGTCAGGGTAAACAACTCTTAAAATCCGTGACATTATGTCATGTACGTACATCTATATATTTGTAAAAACGCTTTTATGTTGACTCAAAAGTAGTGTAAATTTCTTTTTTAAAATACATATGTGTCGCAGATTGTAATAAGCTTTATAATTTATGATCTGTAAAGATAGATCTACCCAATAACAGCATTCCCTAAAGGGCATGGATTGAAACTTAATTTTAAAATATTTAACAACATTATCACATTTTGTATTTAAAATTGAAAAAGAAAAAAAAATTCTTGTAAAACTTCATTTTTTCATCAGGAAAATATTTTGGCTTCAGACTAGTGTCCATAACATGTGTTATTCATAAAAGTCATTAAAAGCTTTTCTAATTACATGTCTTAGTTTTATTGGGTTTTACTTTTGTATGTTACAATTCAGAATTGAATTTTTGGTACCTCTATTTCGATTTTACAAAAATCGATGATTTATATTCCTCAAAGTCTTCTTCTTTTGACAAATGTAATCACTAAAAGGCACGCCGGCGAATTTTTTGAGTTTTCATAGGAGTGGGGTAACAGATGTAAAAAAAAAAAAATACTATCATTTTTCTAATAAAAAAAAAAAAACATGTACTCTAAAATAATTTCAATTTGTGAACAAGTTCTGAAGGCTTCATTAAAATTCGACAATTATTTGATTTTTGCAAGAATTTCCAAATCAATGTGTTTGTCACCTGAGAAAGGGGCTAAAACACTAATTTAAAAATTAAAAACATTACGTAGAAAAACAAACAAAAAAGATTCTTCTTAACCAAAATTTCGAAGGTGCTAGAAAGGATGAAAAAATTTAATAAAATAATCAAAATAACTGTTGTTATTAATAATGCTCTTAATAAGCATTTTGAGGATAACACTTTGTTTTTAACTTTTTATTAAGGTTGTGGCCTTTTTTTCATCGTGCTATGCTGTTTTGTTTTTAGTGAAGAAGAGTGAGACTGAAGGAAGATACATACATCCGACCTATCCAACTGAAAGAGAGTGACACAACACTATCTTCTCACCTCATTTCTGATGTAGACAAAGCTAAGAATATTAAATATGAGGAAAAGAAAGAATGATATTCACAATAAAATGAAATTAAATAAACAGCCGTCGTATTCGTTACGGCGTTACGTAGTTTATAAATTTTACAGTTTTTTACTAAAATCTTTTAGTTTTATACATATTTTTTAAATACTTACTTTTTCTTTATATCACCATCTGTAGCATTTCGCCTAAGTCCAAGCAGTTCATAATAATCTACTCCCATTGTCAACTGTTGAGCCTAAAACAAAAACAAAACGAAACTAAAAACTGGAAACGATATTCACACCAAACTGTCGTTAAGAAAAACAAAAACAATGTCGTCAACAGCAACAGAAAGCTGAGCTGGCTTCTACATTAGCGACCATTTGTGCTTGTTTTTATTTTACTTAAGACTTTAAAAATATCTATTTCTGTTTAAATAATGAAAATTTATAAAAATATAATTTAAGTTTAAGATTTAACTAAACAATCGTATGCCACGATTTGTGAGAAACACAGCAACCGGTCGATTTTTGAGCAGACGTTCTATACTACGGATGAACAACGGTGTCAATATCACAAATGTTATTATTTCTAGTTTTACATGTTTAACGGTCAAAATGTAATGAATTCGCTGGCTACTTTACAAATTATTGATAAAATTAAGTAACAGCAATAATTTATACTTTTTTTAATATATTTATTTATTTACTTAGAGACTAGAGACACTTCAATTCAATAGCTTTGTCAGAGACAGGCCAAGAAGATATTTAGTTTTCTGTGTAGTTCTCAAATACAGAAAAACGTGAGAGAGACTGGGTTAAAGCCCCTAACAGCGCTGTGGATGTGTACGTATATTGCTCTAATTACAGTTAAATAACAATTTAACAAACACTAGAAAAAGTTAGATACGAAACTACGACTACGAAAAAACTTCTCGCATAGCAACAAGATTTATAAACAAAACAAGTTTTTAAACAGTAGTCAAAACAAAAAAAAAAAAAGTTCCTGGTGTTTGTACCCAGGCGATTTGTACACTAAGAAGATGGTCGAAAACCAAGAGGCAAAATATGGCCTGAGAATTACTCCGGCCGTGGTAGAATTTACGGAAAGCAAGGAGAGAGAAGTAACGGTCGTCGTCAGAAATATCGCTGTCAACAGTACAACTGTGCGATTTCATCCACCGTTAAATGAGGTAAGAAGAAGGAGGCAATATTTGCTCTGTGTGTATGTGTGTGTGGAAAGTGTTTTTCAAAAAGTGACTCAATCTTTAAAATAAATGGCAATAAATGCATTGTTTATTGACTTGTGAACAAGATTAATAAAATTAAGAAATAATGTTTATTGACTTACAAGGAATGTTAACAGTTTATTTAATTACGCTATATTCATATTGTTATTTTTAAATTATATCTGAAATTTGATGTATATATATATATATATATATATATATATATATATATATATATATATGTCTTGATAAAGTCCCTCAGAGATTTTTCTATTGTCTTTATTTATACGGCATACACACACACACACACACATATATGAATGTATGTATATATGTATGTACATATGAATTTTTTTCTATTGTCTTTTTACAGATATATATTTTATTTATTTATATCTTAATTTTTACACAAATATATATATGTACATATAATAAAAATATAAAAGACTTCATTTTAACAAAACCTCTAAATGTGATTGGGTGTAATTTCCTCAAAATCTATAGCTGAAGTAAGATAAGAGAAAAGTTAATTTTATTGATTATATATATATGCAATGTCTGCAATGCAAAACGGACCATGGGTTTATGTGTTGTTAAATTAGGAACACATGTGTTTATTCCTGCTAGAAGAAGGTCCAGTACAAGAACATGGTGAACTCAGAGACTGAATCCAGCATAAAGAAGTGTAAAATCATCAAGACCGATATAAATAAATATATATATATATATATATATATATATATATATATATATATATATATATATATATATATATATATATATAACAAATATATGTATTAAATAACAAAATTTACAATGGACATATACATTAACATTTGTGCTTGTGTGTGAGTAAAGAGTTTGTATTTTGGTGAATGTTCATACAAATTGAAGACAATATTCATGAGAGCTTACATTGTAGATGTGTTCACTGAAAATGAAGAAATGAAAAAGAGAATGTATGTATATATAGACATATATATATATATATATATATATATATATATATATATATATATTATTTATATATTATATATGCATGGTATTTATAGGAAAACGCTCAATACAAGTGATAGAGTTAACAAGACATTGAATAGTTTAAAAAGCATTCTTTTATATAAGTAATACATAATAGAGAGAATTGCTAAATATATTCCTTTAGTTGTTAATGTCATGGCATCGGAGACAAAGTCCAAATATATCTGTTTGAAATTGATTGAAACACTTATCTGCATTTAATCATATCTCCTCTTCCGAATGCTGCCTGTCGATGCATTATTCGAGTTTGCTCAGAGACAGCATTTCCTGACCTTTGGAGTAGACAAAAATGCATTCTTTCACCTCGGTAGTCTTCAAGCCTCTCGTGTGGTGTCTCAAATCCATTTGGTACCTAAATTTAGGTCTTACCCATTATTACCAGATAAACGAACTCATCTCTTCCTTACCAGGTATCTTCTTATCAACCAAGAGGAGATAATCTATATTTTTTCATATTCTCCCAACACACAGAAAAAACATACAATTCAGTGTCCAATTCATAACATAAAAATACAATATTTGGTATATGACCATGAAGTCAGTTATTTGTTTTTTTAATATAATATTTGGTATATAACTATAAAATCAATTCTTTTATTAATACAATAAGAATTTCCACAAATTCAATAGACCAATATAATAAAGGGGAAATTCTTACCCTCAGTATGTTAGTGGAAACATGATAGTTTGGTGTTTACTTGACAATTAACTTTTTTGAATCATTCACTAAGAATAACTTCACTAGGTTTGAAATATCAATAACAGGACTATCATGTTCTTCAACATTATTATGGCCCATTACTAGTGAAGGCATGTATAAGTGCCTCCCCACCAACCTTTTTAAGACACTTGTAAATTTGTTAAATCAATTCAAATTATGCCCCTTTTCGTCGCTAGGTTTACATTATTAGCTGATGTGCTATTTGTACAGAATAACATTTTAGTAAACAATAAATGTAATATTCTACCCTTGTTAAGGCATTTCAAGTATTAAGTTATTTCGATTAAAATGACATTACCTTTTTTTTTGTCATTTATATTTATTTTCATGACACAAAATTTCATTATTCATTAATTGTATAGCTAAATTGTATTGGACCCCATTTATATTTTTATAAGTCTGTGCATAATTAAACTAGGATACCTTTTTTGTTACTTTAATTAAACCATATAATTTTTCAATGGAACCTTTTCATCGTGAGGCAGATCAAATAAATGTTCAAGGGTAGTTTGCTTTCAAGACAGAATAATTAAACATGGGTAATTTGAAGAGCACTTAAGTCAATTGCTTCTTCTGAGAAGTGTTTTCTTCAGCCAGACTTATTATTTGGGCCATGCCCTGTTGATGTTGTTTATACATCTTGTTGGATCCATTCTTTAGAGTATTGGTAAAGTTCAGTCATAATGATAAATACAGTTCAGTTAAAATTCCACTGTCAGTTGAATTTTCCAATGGATTGCATATAAACAGTTTAATGTCTTATCAAGGAGAATTCAAACAGGTACTACCACTCTGGGTCAGAGAGGACCTGGGAATAATGGCAACCAAGGAGTGACTCCACACTCCTCAAGTCTCATAAGCAGAGCCTTGTCACTAGATTTAGTTTAAAGTTTTAACCAGAACTTTGTAGATGAATAATCCTTAGCTTAAAAGAACTGATGAACAGAAAAGACTATCTGTTACTGACAATACTGTTTGAGCTTTTCCACTATGAACAGTAAATCTTTCAAGTGATCCGTTACATTTTGTGTAAATGTAATATTTTTAAATTTAACACTTTGTGCGCTGCAGACCCATTTTACGTGTATTTTAGCACTTATAACCATTCTTAATTTCTTCATAACTGAGGATTTTCGAACTGAAAATTGAATTGTTATTCACTAATAAATATAATTATCACTTCTATAGATACAGTTTAATGCCTTGATCAAGGACAAGTTTGGCTCCGATAAGATTAGCCAGGATAAGGTTGCAATTTAGTCATACTAAGTAATAAGTTGCCCAGTACACGAATGGCCAATAAGTGGTCAGAAAGCGACCAAAAGAAATGGATGCAGATTAAAACATCTTACCAAGGACTGGTCATAAGTGATCAAGTGAATGCAGTTTGAAGTCTTACCCAGGATTAGAATGGTCATAAGTTACCCTTAAGTGGATGCTGTTTAAAGTCTTACCCAGGACAAGAGTGGTCATAAGTCACCCTTAAGTGGATGCAGTTTAAAGTCTTACCTAGGACTAGAGTGGTCATAAGTTGACTCAAAGATGGACGGGAGACAAAATTCCTAAGAAACTCTAGTAATTAAGTCGACTTAAAAGTAAAAAAAGAATCTATTTGTCTCCTAAGTATATGTGAGAAATTGTATTGTTACACATATATATTTAACAGATTGCTTATTTGTTTATTGAAATTGCAGATATGTTTAGCAAAATATGGGAAAATTGGTGACTCCTCATTTGAGTTGTAACAGAGGAACAAAGGACAAGACAATTGAATAGTTTAAAATACATTTTTTATACAAGTTTCCTCTGTTGGAATGGCTGTAGTGTGAAAAATAGTTCATCACCCACAAGGATGCTTTTGAACTTTATTGAGACAGGAAAGTGAAGACTGGATAGCTCCTGTCCATATATGACAGCAGTAATCCATTTTTAGTCTGATCTGGCTCTTGTAAAGGTACAGGTTCTTACTGGAACAGTAAAGGGAACAGACCATTTTTCCAGTATCTTGTACTTGGTGCTGATGGAATGTCACAAGTTTTATAGGACATAGTTCCAACCTAACCAGAAAATAAGTTCAAGAGCTGCAAGAAAATGCAATAAAAAATCTGAAAGAATTGTTACCGCACACCTTTATTAGACAAAAGCTAAATGCACTTAAGTTAAGATCAGTTTGGTAATATTAATTGTGAATACAATGAAACATTTTGAAAATTACAATTCCAAATTCATCAATATTTCATACACAGTCAGTTTTATTTGATCAATCGGTAATTTCATAAAACTAATAATGGGTTGCTAAGCAAGAAAGAATATTTCTAGTTTTTCATTTCTCCATTATAGGCATTATTATATCCGTGGTATAGTAACGCCTTAATACACGGGTGGAATAGAACAGCTGAAAGAAAGGAATGACAAACGTGCATTATTCTCAAGATATTATATAATGCTATACATACTTGTCACTAATTTGTCTCAAATAGAAAAGTTATAATATATGTATACATCAAGTAGTGTGAAAAAGGGCAAAAATAGAGAGAGAGGGCCTTATTTGTAATACTTCCCAGGTCGCTGGTGTCCTCTATGTGCCAGGTGAATTCATATGGTTTTCTCTGTAGGTCCTGCCACTGTGGGTTTGAAAAGTCCATTTTCTCTACAGCCTACATAGCAACTGGTCACTCTATGAACTGGTGTTACTCACCGGTCATCCCATAACCTTCGTGACTTCATCAAAACCAAAAGGAAATATTCACCTTTTCCATCCTTATATTAATAACTCTACACATGCATTGATTAGAAATAATTATCATGACTGATGCTATTTAAATAATTAACTTTTTTTCTTTTGGGCAGAGTGACTTGTTTTGTCATTATGTCACTAATAAACATTCAATAAACTAACTAAAAATAATATTAATTTTTCCTTCTATTTTTTTAACATATTTTTTTATAAATTGTCTGGATATTTTGAAAACATTGCAATGACAGGAAATAATATGTAAATGGTAGACAGAAAAAGAAACACAAAAATTGGGAGGCAATACTAAGTTAGATTTGTTATTAATTTTTGACTTGTATTTCTTTCAAGTTATGTTTTTCTCTTTTTTTTTTTCTTGCATTCTATTGTGTCTTGCAGCCAGAAGTAATTTTTTTTTGTTTTCAATGCTTGCTGATTCCTTCGTCATGGCAGAATAAGAAACTGTGTCTT